TCATAGTAGATGCATACAATCGAACTTTTTATGCAGTTGATTTCGCTGTTTCTTAAACAAGCTGGAAAATCTTCTCGAATCTGTAGACGAACATAACAAGTCGTCCACCCTCTATATAACTTAAACCGCAGGAACAATTTAGACAGCAAGTCCATAAAGGAGAGCTAAGATTAGATGTAACATCTTTTAACTTCGAGGGTGAACACTCGACAACTACTGAAGAATAGAAACAGTTATTCAGAGTGAGAAGTCCTATCTATATCTTAGGTCAAACCTTGGGGTCAAGTTAAACTTTAAGCACCATTCAATACCAATGGAGTGCAACCGCACCAATGACCTTGGAACGTTCACTGAGTAAGTTAGTGAAACCTGGCAAATAATGCTGTCATCATCAATAAAATATGCTCATCGAAGTGTTATGCTATTAAATTGGATATCTGGCAAGTTTCAGGTAGGTTTGGGAAAGATTTAGTTGCGCTTTAAGCCAAGGACAAGTTGAGGTTAGGTTAACCTAATGAAGGCGACATTAGGGTTGGTTCGAGTTAGATTACAGTTAGTTTAGGGATACTTGAACGTAAGATTAGTTTTATTGTTAAGGTTAGAAGGCCTAAATAATTACAAGCATAGAATGTGGTTAAATTTCTCTGTTGATATAAGAATAAAACTTGTGCACTGTGGAGGTAGAGTATAATTCTATTGTGAGTAAAATTTATTCTGATAAAGTTTCTCAGTGTTATGCAGTATTATTTACTGATGACCACGTTTCGACCACCATTTATTGCTCATTAAATATTACTGCATAACATTATGAGGCTCTATCAGAATAAATTTGTACCCACAATGGAATTATACTCAGTTGATACTCCAACCTAAAACTGAGAGCTATCTTTATCACATGTGAAAGGAACGTATCCTCTGTAACACTTTTACACAGCTTTTGTGCAATTTTTTTCAATAAATACATGTATTCCATACACAAAAATGCCTCCTTCAGGTGATTGGTGTGTTCGAGGTCATTCGCTGATTGGCATTTAGAGGTGCTTAAATATTATTTTTGCCAACTTTGGCATAGAATTTCCTTAGGAGTATTCCCTTTGAAATATCCTTCTATATTTCAAAATATTTAGTACGTGCATTTAGGTCGGCATATTTGTCACACAGATAAATACTGATTATTTTAACACCACTATAACTAATATTGTTATTCTACGTGAAAATGTATCCCCTGAATTGTCAGACTAACTTTTGATTAATGATATAGGAAGGTGGTATGTAGACAGAAGAACAATGGATTATCCTTTTATGGTGATATAATGACCAAGGTCAATATGGAAATAAACCAATCAGAATTGGCCTACGTAAAATAACGCCCACCAGTAGTGTATTGATTATGATTCTGTAGACTAATTGACATAACCCTGGTAATTTTTTGAATGCCATACTGTTGTTTAAAATATTCTATTGTGTCTGATACTTTCTCCCTCGAGTCGTTGTGTGTTCTGTCTCAAGCAGAGAGGGCTGCGGGGAAACAGGTAGCTGCCGTATAACGTTGTTGGCGTAGTCAATCGATGTTCGTGATTAACGTGTCTGCGTTCAACTCAACATTTCTTTTTTCAATCTCACTGTTATTGTAAAGCATAAGAGAATGTTTTATATTCTTGAAAGTAATGTACTTTGATTTAAAAATAGCATGTATTAAACGCCTAATTATCAATGTAGGTCAAATGTCTAGATTGAATGAACAAAGACTTTGGACTAAAGGTCAATGCACACCAATAGAAGCATATAGAAGTTTGGGAAAAAGTTTATGTTTGTCTACAAATGTTTAGGTTAAAAACATAAGACCGAGTGCAACAATAGCGTATGGAAAGGTAGACTAATGGCTGAGTCTATCCACTTTCAGGAATGTTACCTAGATAACACATGCAACTAAATAGGACTCAAAATAATAGTCAATATCGTGGAATGCAGTTTTGTACACTCAAAAAAGGAATTATTTATATTTCTGCGCTCATTACTATTTATAAATGTGTGAATAAGCACAACTCCACCTACTGGTATGATCACGGATGGTAGTTTGCATATCAACAACTATTCACAGAGTTTCCAGCCGAACATACGGTTTCAACAACTCATTTCCACTTTCTTCTATTTTCTGCCGTCCTTCTCAAATGGCTGGGTTCAAAATTATTGTCCATAATCTCTCATCTCCTCCTCCTCCCCAACACACGATCTCCTCCATGTCACCGTCGCACCGACGACCCACTCGCCGCTTCCCTATAGGATTCCACTCGAGCGATGAACTGCATTGCGCGCGATGTCATTCGATGGCCTCCTCACTGGCGTATGCCCGATCAATCCATCTCTTTTTTCGACTACATATTTGTTGAGCAATCTCTCCTCGGTTGATTTGTTCTACTGTAGAGTTTCTTGTTACTGATTCTTTCTCGCTGGTTGACCATTTGATCTTCAGTATGGAGTGAGCGAAGTGGGTAGTTGTTAATAAAAGTCTGCAGTAACCTATTGGAAATCCCTTTCGTGACTCACACGCAGTGTATGTTTTTGATCCGTAAAGAATAAGTGGCTGGCTGACTGACTGATTTCACATTTGTGTTGAATGGAATCCAAATCTTCTTCTTCATACTGGCTGACTGAGTGAGTGAAGAAGCTTTCCAAACTGGCTTCATGTTGATGAAGGCGCATCTTGCCTTTCCGATTCTGGCTGACTGACTGGCTAGCTTTGACATCTTCATCCGTGCTGTACGCCTTTCGTTGAAACCGTGCTTCTTGGTCAGATAATCCAAGGAAGTCCTATGTCAACTCTTTCTCGTTGATGGTGATTGTTGCTAGTTGTTTCTATTGTTGTTGGTTGGTTGGTTGGTTACCTTCATCAGCCCCTTCGTCTTCTCTATGTTCACCTGGAGTCCTGTCTTCGCTGCCTACCTGCTTCTTCTGCCATTTTGCTAGTTTTCATCTGTTAGTCTTTGAATTTATGTGACATTAAACATAAAGCGTCCACGTGTGAAATCCAGATCTTCTGGAGTCTTATTATCGGTGGTCCAGCGTATTCCTGCCTTATTGCTGCCATGCACAGTCTTCCGCATAATAAAGTCCTCTAGAATTAGAAATATCACAGGTGCTAATAGGCAGACAGCTTTTTCTCAATATTACCTTTACTTTAGAGGCTTCGCTAAGTTTCCTACTGTGGATCACCTGACACATGATATTGTCATATAGCTGTCTAGCACTTCCTTGACTTCGATGATTCTCTAAGCAATATCCCTTCGCGATGAAATATACATTTAAATTAATGAAAGTCTTTACAAATCCTGTCAACTCAACTAAGGGTGCAGTTACATAGGGAGAACCGAAAGAAAAGCACGCCTCCGATTTTCTGAACATTTACCAAAAAGTCTACGTCTCAATGGAACAAATGTTTACAATGGTGCCACTACCAGACATCTCCTTGATATGTGTCATGAGGGGGAAGTCGCAAGATCGTTCAAAATTATCAATAGGCAAAAGAGTTCATTTCGCCTTAAGTTCACCGAAGCAATCTCCATCAAGTGCCTGAAACCCGATTTATGTGTTCGAAAAGAAGCGGTTATTAGTCTTCCCTTGCCATGATAACTGGATGTTCTCATCCTCTCTATCATCTGATTACGTAACGCCGAAAGTTTCCATTGTGTATGATCATTATTGTTTGGAATAAAATGTTTGTTCTTATTATGATTAGTATTGTATGCATATATTGATTGGTTGATTTTCTGTTTAAAAATGGGCTCAATACAAGTATGTTAAAATTGTTTCTGTAGATAAACTTAGCAATATCTTTGGTCTGTAAGCAAGCAGCTGATGAGAAGCCGACGAAATAAATGATGGTACCATTTTATTTTCTACAAGAATTCTGTTTTTTTCTTTATTCGAACTTAAAGGTACCTACGACATGCTAACTGAAAACAGCTACCCTCGATAACTTCATCACTAAACCTCTGGCTAAGAAAGGAAAAAAGAATTCTCCTTTATCTGTGTAACAAGAAGTCTCTGTGCAGATTTGACTACAACTCAAAGGCGATATACAAAGTGATGTAACAACCATCAAATTGAGGAAATCAATTCAAAAGACGTTGAATGCCGGTAAGTTGCATTTTATATTTTCCACACAACCGGATGCTGTTCCAAAACCAAAAGATGGATGAAGTACCTAGGGATAGTCGCCTCAAATTGTAGCTATCAATTCAACCGCTCTTGTACAGCTAGTTAAACTGGTTTTTGCTCTAGGAGGCTAATTTTTCGTGCTGGTGAACACTTACCGGCGTGGCGAAATAAGGGTGTTGTCAAAACCATCAGCAGTTCTATTTTACAAGTTTTGGTTTTATGGGGATTTTGTTTGATTGGTTGCAAGATTTCATCATAAGCTGACATCAGTTATAGAACCATTGGAAAACCTGCAGGGAGTATTGGACAGCCAGCTGTTTCGTCATCATAGTTTGGGACTCTTCAGCAGTAGGCACCCACCGTCAGGGTTCGAATCCACAACCTTCTGGTCACAATTTGAGCTCGTAGTTCTATTCTTGATTACCTTGTCCAAACATGCCACAAATCTAAGACTGAGGAATCTTTCTCTAGCGTCTACCAGTGGCTTCCAAATACTGTACACTCCAAACAACAGAGGCCATTGCAATTCACTTAAAACAACCGGCACTGTGTAAGCAAACAACGCCTGTCCAACCAGTATTGCTACCCACCTGGCCTGCTGTCCAGCCTATAAGTTCATAAATTTTGTATCACTTCCATTAATTTATCTGAAGTTCAATAAGCTAGCTGACGCCTTTCAAATGTGATCTGTCGATACTGACCATTGATTTAACGTAATTTAAAACAGCATTAATGTTGTTAATAACAGTATTGCTAAATGTAGAACCTAATGACGAATTTATCGAAAAGAATATCCATTTTTCATTAGTCAATCTTTTTAAATAAAAGTAATAATAACTTACTTGTGATAACATTAAAAACTTATTGATTTGTTCTACAGACGGTGTAAAATCCTCTGGTCCATAGGCATTGATAGCTCCGGAGTTTCGATTGCATATTACAGCTTTTTTAACCAATTTAGTACCAAGTATACTATTCTTTAAAATTCGATCATATACATCCGAGTGAGTTGTTTGATCAAACTATTTAAAATTAGAAAAGGGAATGAAAATGAATTAAGGATTTACATTTTAGGAAAATAGTGCCATATGTATATATACCAACAGCGATAACACACAGCATCAGTCACCATCAACAGGAGAGATTTGACGGAGGTCACTCACTTCCTTCACTTACCCAACTAGGAAGCATGGATTCAACCACAGGCAGGCGGAATGGATGAAGATGTCAAAACTAGCAAAAATCAGAAAGGTAAGATAAACATTCATCAATGTGAACTTAGTTTGGAAATCTTCGGCTTCATTCAGTCAACCAGTATGAAGAACAAGATTCGGATTCTATTCAACACAAATGTAAAGTCAGTCAGTCAGTTACTTCTTCTATATGGGTCAGAAACTTGCACTTCACGTGAGTCACGAAAAGGATTTCCAACAAGTTAATTATTATTATTATTTCCCTTAATTCCTAGAGGAACATAGGGCTTCAGCCGTGCGTCTCCATTGAGTTCGGTTCTCTGCTGGAGTTTTCACCTGGCTCCAAGTCTGCCACATGTTCTCATCTCCTCTTCACATGACCTCCTCCAAGTCATCCTTGCACTGACGACCAACTCGCCGCTTCCCTTTTGGGTTCCACTCGAGCGATAGCTTGTCTAGTGATGTCACTTGATGGTTTTCTCAGAGCATGGCCAATCCATCTCCATTTCTTCCCGCAGATTTGTTGCACAATCGGTTCCCGGTTGGTTTGCTCTCAGAGATTCCTATTGCTGATCTTATATGGCCGGCCATCTGATCTTGAGTAATGACCGAGGACAGCTCTTAATGAAGGTCTGTAGTTTGTTTGATGTGCTCTTTATGACGCACCAAGTACGGGTCCCAGTGGCTGAATGGTATACGAGCTTGCCTTGTAACCGGAAGGTCCTGGTTTCGAACCCTGTTGGTGGGTGCGTACTGCCGATGATTTCCAACAAGTTACTGTAGACTTTTGTCAATAACTGCCCGATTCGCTTGCTCCATACTGAAGAGCTAATGGTCAGATAGCTGACCAGAAAGAATAAGCAACAAGAAACTCAGTCAATGAACAAACCAACCAGTAGCCAATTGCTCAACAAATATGTAGAATTCAGTGGAGATGGACTGATCGGATATAATACTGAGGAGGCCATCGAATGACATCACGCGAAATGCAGGCCAGCACCAGAGTGGAATTCTATAGGGAAGCGACGAGTGGTTGGTCAGTGCGAGGGTGACATGGATGAGATCGTGTGTTGGGAGGGGTAGAAGATGAGAGATTATGTGCAGTAATCATCGATCCAGCGAGGTGAAGATGACACGAGAGAATAAAAAAACGTGTAAATGTGTTGTTGAAGCCGTATATTCCACTAGGAAACCAAGGGTATAATAATAAAGCCTGAAAATCTCTGTCCCACATGGAACGCAGATGAATGGCAAAAGCCAACTATCAGAATTATCTTTCTTTCTAAGTAACCAGAAGAAAATGCTAAAGACAAAAAGTTCCACAGTGTTTCTTTTCGTTTAAGGCAAGGCAAAATTTAATGATGCAGTTTAAAGAATTCTTCTTTAACTGTACAAATATCGATTAATCACTTCAATGTAAATGCATAGTAAAGTGTTTTGCTATATTACCTATTATCCTTCTCATTCGTCATAATATAGGTGAAATTAGCGATGTGATGATGATGATGAACCCGATCCCAAACTATCGGAACAATCATCCAGTGTTTAGGTCACTTCCGTCTGGCTGACCAACAATTCATTAGTAAATAAAATCCTGACTAGACTTGTTAATAGGCTGCATTCATTTCACAGTCCACTGAGTGACTGTGTAGTGAATAAAAAGAAAGTCTAAGTGAGAATTCAAACTTTATGGTTGCAGTCACTGAGAAACATGAGTTGAAAGAGCTGTAGATAGGGCTCAGTCTTATCTAATATCACTTAGAGAACCACTGGAAATCAGGGAGTACTGGGCGTCCAGTTGTTTCGTCAGCCTAGTTTTGAACTCATTCACAATACACATCCACTGCCAGGGTTCGAACCCAGGACATTCCGGTTACAAGGCAAGCTCGTAGACCATTCAGTCACTAGGACCCGACTCACTGGCCAGTCCATGAATTCTAACTTCTGCCAATTCGTGATTTTAGCGCAAATGGCACCTTACTCCCGACCACGTGGCCCCCAATGATAGCGACTTCTCACTAGAAATCTGTTGAGTCGGATCCAAGTGGCTGAACAGTCTAAGGGGTTCCCTTGTAACCTGAAGGTTCTAGGTTCAAGACCTGATGAATGAGCACTGATGATTAATCCAAAACTAGGACGAAACAGCTATTCAGTACTCCCTGCTGGTTATGAATGTTTCTCTTACTGATATCGATCTGTGATCTAAGTTGAGGTAAATGGAATCCCTGCAAATGGACTCTTGAAAATGTCGCCTAAATTCAAATGTTTGAAATACAATAAACTTAATGTGAGGTACATTTTATTCTTTAATGCACTTTTTTTCTATAGCCTGCCTAATACTACTATAAGTGACAGTTTTAAGTAATAAATGATCAACCTACTGATGTAACTTGGGAGTAATTTAAAGAAAGTCATATCTTTCACTTATCTGGTTAGACAGCTTCGTTTCAACTACGAACGGTGAGGACATTGATGTTAAAGCTATTCAAGATGATGACAGCAAGACGCACCTTTATTACTCTGATATCAATCTGGAAATCTACTGAACTCAGCTGAAGGGACAAGATGTCGATCTTCAACAGTAATGTCAAGTAGTCAGGGCTGTTTCTGTGTAATTCAAACACTTGGTAAGTGCGTCAACAAAAGCTTTTCCAACAGCCTACACATTTTTGTTAACAAAACACTTAGTCCTGTGTTTCCCGTAAACTGAATTCTGTCAGTCGGATTTGCAATATAGCCACCATTCTAGGCAGCTCACCATCACGGTGCACATTGATTTTATTATATTAGATAGCTGGAGGCAATCATCAGGAACCCTTGGACCTAGACACATCGCACTACTTACTAACTAGTGTCCAATCAAAGTATCCAATACAGTCCTACAGGAGGTCAATTGCGAGCCCAAATAGCTCAGTGGTAACGTCTCTGACTGCAGCCTCACTGAGTGACTCGGGTTCGAATCTCAGAAGGGGCATGAGTTGTTCCTTCAAGGTTGTAGATACGCCTTGCTGACTGGTGGCGAGTGCCAACTAGCACGAAACCTAGGTCCAAGACTGAGTGGGCTTCCTGCCTGCCGATTGCCTCCAACCATCTAATATCACTTAAGTTTCGTGCTTGTCGGCACTCGTCAGTAAGGCATATCTGTAGTGTTAAAGGAACTCATGTCTCCCCTTAGAGATTTGAACCTGTTTCACGCAGTGTTGCAGACATTAGTTCTGAAGACACAGTGATGGCAAGCCACCTAGTATGGTGGCTAAATTACAAACCCAACTGTCAGAATTATTATTATTAATATTGCCATTGTACGCATGCATTGATTTTTGTTTAAACTTGAACTCTCTGGCTAAGTATGTCTATATTTTCTCTGTACATAAACTAAATAATGTCTTTAGGCTGTAGGCAGCTGATGAGGAGCCATTTTATTCTGGACAAACCTTGTCCTCTTGTCCTTACTTTATTCAAATTTATAATTGGGGAATTAAGGCAATGTTAAAGTTAAATCGGTCTGTTTACATTAACTGCTCTTGTAATGAGTTCAATTGACAGATTATTGTAGAATGCATTAAGTTCACATACTAGAAATTCACATAAATAATAGAAACAGTTAGAGGTCAATCATGTAAACTGATTGATTGAGTGATTGATTGACTGACTGATTGACCCATTCAGTTAGTGAATACCGCTCATTTATATATGTAAAGGTATACACATCATTATTTCATAAATATGCTATTATTTAGTTCACAATTCACTTTGGAATTTATCCAAATTATAAATTAGAACAAAAATTATAAGTTGGCTAATGATTTTATGACTTTACGATTGACATGGATGCACTTAAGGTGATGGTTTCAGAAAAAAACGATACACACACACTCACACACTATTTACGATCGGGATCATCTTGTGATCAGAGTCATAAAATACGCTTTACGCTTGTGAATAATCTGCTTATCAATGATAAAAAAAAACCTATTCAGAATTGTTTGATTACTAAAAATCTGCTAGTCAATATTTATGGCGTATATATATGTATGTGTGTATAGGTGGGAAAGGAATCTAATCAAAAGAGTGGATCACGCGAATTCCGGTTTATCAGGCAGCTGATCGAATAAATCGCCTGTTTATCTTAAAGAGAGAGAGATTAAATTCCATGTGCACATTTAACAGCTTCCTTTGTAAGGCCATTGAATGATGTGAATAATAAGAGCTCTTTAATAATAATAATTTTTGTACAACACATATTTAGTATGATACATCACATCACAAATAATCCTTATCGTCAAGGCACTTTTTTCTCTTCTAATTGGACATAGTTTTCTGCATGACATCGAGGCGGATAGTTGTACTATGCTGCTGAATGATAGAAATTTGAGATATGATGGAGAAGATTTGTAGCTCAGGTGGATTGTTTTTGATGTGATTGTGTTCTCTAAGCTGGATGGTTTATTTGCGAAGCTTTCATTGCCCCCCCCCCCCCACTAGGCAACACCTTCAGCGCATACTTCAATTTGAATTGAAGTGAGCTTTCAAATTTCTCTACGAGTTTATTAATCATCTCTGCTGGTGACCTGATTGTTTTTGAGTGTTTTAACACCCTCTAGGATACTTGTATTGGTACTAATTGTTTTCTTGACCTGAATTTTGACCCTTTGTGTGTGTGTGTGAGAGAGATTTCCTTCTTATCGATTGGTAAATTTTGTCTGTCACTCGAATACCAGGCAGGCTTCTCAAAATTCTCTAGCATTCTTGATATTTCCTCTGTCTAATGTATGAACGTTGTTCTAGTCGAAATGATGTCCGTGGTTGTCTGTATGCAGTGAGTGATA